CAGCCGATGGAATGCTCTCCTGTACATGTACCATCCATGTCCAGCGCTCGTTTCACCATGTTCTTAACGCAAGCTTCGACCTTTTGGCGCTCACCAGGGACGTTCTTGTTATACATGATACTTTCATGAAAATTTCCGTCTCCCACATGGCCTAGGATGCTGGCGAAGAGGCCAAGCTCATCCATCTCTTTCTTGCTGACCTCTATGATGTCAGCTAGCCGGCTGAACGGAACAGCTACGTCGGTACTCCCTGCGTTATCATCAATTAGCGGCCGAATGGATAGGCAGTATGTTGATGGCCGCGCTGCGATACTCACAAACATCGTCACCGTGTTTTCGGAGAGAGAGCATAGACCAAAGGGATTCTTTCCTGGCAGACCAGAGCAGCTGTTGCTCAGCAGCATCCCGAGCAAACTCGAAACTTCCGCCTTTGTTTGCCGCCGCAATCTTTTTCACCCTATTGATGTTGTCTTTCACACCCTCCTTTGTTCCAGAAAACTTAAAGAACAGTGTTGGTAATTCCTTCCAGACCCGCGGTTTCGTAGCACCACCAAGGTTGATGACTCGCATCTGAACTTCATCCATGATCTCCATCGCTGCAACAGGAACGCCGGCCTGCATGACGCCAGCTGCTGCACCGGCGGCATCTCGAATGGTGGGAAATGTAACAACAGCAACCGAGTACTGCTCTGGAATGACAGCCAACTTGAGTGTAGCTGCGAGTATTAGCTGAGTCTCACTTTGGGTGTGTACGCCTTGTTATACCTTCTGTGACAATCCCCAGTGTGCCTTCAGAGCCAACAAACAGTCCGTTCAGATTATATCCAGCAGATGACTTTCGTGGCCTTCGTCTCGTTTTGATGATACGCCCGTCGGATAGGACAACGGTCAAGTTAATGACCCAATCCTTCATTGTACCATATCTTACAGCATTTGTGCCAGAGCAATTCGTTCCGATCATCCCCCCTATTTTCGCTGATGGGCCTAAACAACTTCGTCAGTGCTTCGATGTCCCTGGCCCCCCATGATTATTGGTCACATACCAGGATCGACGGGAAAGAAAAGACCACTATCCATAGCCAGTAACTTTGCGTTTAGATCTTGCCAGCCAATACTGGGCTGGACCACAATATCCATATCATCTTTGTTGAACTGAATGATTTGGTCCATATAAGCAAAATCCACACTTATTCCTCCGTAAGGGGCAGAAAAATTGCCTTCCAAGCTTGAGCCTCCGGAATAGGGGATGATAGGAACGCGATGCTCATAACATATGCGAGCTATCACGGACACTTGCTCAGTTGTTCTAGGATATGCCACGGCTACTGGCAAAGTATCAGGGTTGACCGTAGACCATTCTGAGTAGCCATGTGCTAGTAGATCCTCGGGATCCGTCGAGATAAAGCCTTCTATTCCAACCTCGTTTTCGATACGCCTGATCGCCTGTTTCGAAAATCAGCCTGAGGGCATGAGAACATACAGGTATTTACCTTGTCCATCTCGGGCAACGTAGCATAATGAGGCGCAAGCGATCGACCCCATATAGAATTTCCAGTGCCTTTTGTTTCGTTCAAGCTGGCAAGCCCCCATCCAAGAGCTCCAGCCCCAATGGCAACTGCCAAAACCTTTGGCTGCGACCATCCTGGGGTATTCCTTGGCTTGCTCTGAGCAGAGTCATAGGCCACATGAGAACGAACGCAAGAAGAGACTGTAAGGCCTCGTCGAAATCTCGCACTTTGTGCACAACGGCTCAAGAGAGTCCTTGTCGAAGTCCTGCTGGTAAACATTTCAACCCAATGCTTAAGAAACGTATAGTTTTCTGACTCAAACGGCCTAGTCCACTATTGACCGTGATGTGGAACCCAGATCGATTCGATACCCGAAGCCTGTTCCTTTTGCTCCAATTAACAAAGTTCAATGAGTCCGTTGCGTTATATGGCTCTTGCGAGTAGTGTTTTTGATCACCAACGGGAATCTCTGCCGTGTCTAAGCGAGTCTGTACCGAGTATCCGCAAGCAAGTGAGAGGGGGAAAGAACGACGAGAATCCTTCGATTCAAGCAACTAGGAGAGATGACCACGCGAAGGAAAACCCCGGAACCAGATGTGGCCACGATGGGGCTGACTCTCACTTTTAAGTACCTTAGTCTCAAGAACATCATCGGCGCACGTGGGGCATAACCAGGAAAGTGGAAATCTAAATTCAAACGGCTTCTCTTGTAAGCATAGACTCGCTGATGCAATACTGAGCGCCGCGTTGCCGCTGGGTCTTAGCATGGCTTTTCCATTGCTTGTTGAGCCTAGCGGGTCTAATGGCGAGGGGCACACGATCCATCTTTCATGGACGTTGTGCGTGTGCGGTCTTACTGTAACAAGACATTCAGTCGCATGGATGTATGAGGCTCCCCACGCATTACGCCCACATGCACATCACAGGAACAGCGCGCGTGAGACTCGAATTGTCGAATCGCAGCTTCAAGGAGTGCAGCCAACAGCATCATGGCTGAGGAGGATTTGACGGGCGGCTGCAGTTCTCGTTAGTCATGCATTTTTGACCTCATGCGTAATTACGACTCGGTACCCTGAATTTACAATAGACTTCCCCGCTCCTAAATGACTCGGTTTGCTCGCCGAACCAGCAGCTTCACAGCATACAGCATGTACCGTAGGAGGCTGTGGAGAGGGGGAAAGAATCCGAGCCCACTTGGTGTTATTCGTAGTTTGGGGGTTCGAAAGCTTCCTTCAGTGGGATGAAGCAACTAGCTCAATGGAGAAGTTGGGGAATGGAAGGAAGAATTTCAATTCGAGAGACAAGTCCATTCTCTCATCTTCCAGGGTAGCAAGCAACCAGCATTCTCGTAAACGTGGGGTGGGCAAGGAATAGGAATTCGCCTATATCCGATATTCTCACCTCGGTCAGCCAAATTGTAACACAGCCACAACTTTACACATTGGGAGGTCAACTGATACTCTGATAACCATGGGATGTAGCCCGTGAGCACTTAGTGGAGAGACTGTATTCATTATTACCTTGATTTCAAATCATTATGCTATGCAGCCCTACCAGTCAGCTTTGACCCGAACCTTTCCCCATGGGAAGGATGATATTAGAAAGAAACACGAGTTACTTGTATGGCTGCTGACAAAGTCATGAAATATAATACGGATGGCAGCGAGTCCCCTGGTTGGACAATGGCATATTATCAAGGAACCTGAGTGCAGTTGCATCAGTGAATACGGTTACGTTTTCTTTGGTGTATTGCAAGATGAAGGGCAACGTCTTCGATTCATTTTTATCACAGTTCGAGGGAGACATCTGTCAGGAATCGACACTTCTGTTGGGCTCAAATTCATCTTTTATCGTAGCCTCATGGGGGCCGGCTATCTCCAGGGTAGTTAAAGCCGCAAAGCAAACGTCAAATCCGAGACTCCAGTCCACATGCCATTTTTTTACCATTCCTAACGCAAATCCACAATTTAGTGAGAGATGGCGTAAGCGCGTCGGCGGTCACGCTCCTCAGCGATGGTGAGCTTGACACCCTTGCCCTTGGGCAGAGAGATCCAGGGCTTGTCCTGGCCAATGACGAAAACGTTGCTCTCACGGGTAGCAAAGCTGTTGTCAATAGCATCCTTGACGTGGACGATGTTGAAACCACCGTCGTGGCGTTCACGGTGAGTGATAACACCAACACGACCCATGTTGCGACCACCAGTGACCATGACGACGGCGCCAGTGTCGAACTTGATGAAGTCGGTGATCTTGCCAGTGGCAAGGTCAATCTTGACAGTGTCGTTGACCTTGATAAGAGGGTCAGGGTAGCGGATGCTGTGAAAACCTCGTTAGCAACGGGGTATTTGGGGGTTACATACAACCGTCAAATAAAGCTCCTGTCTTGTCGGGTGACTCGAATCGACCAAAGCTTGATCCAACGGCTGAATGATGTCTGACAGAACTCACGTTCGTGCATCGTGCGTGACCAAGAATGGGATTCCACCACGACCAAGCTGGACACGCTTGACCTTGCCAAGCTTGTACTCAGCCTCCTCAGCCTGGATTCGGTGGACGGTGAATCGGCCCTTGGTATCGTAGACAAGACGGAAGTTCTCGCCAGTCTTCTCGATGGTGATAACGTCCATGAAACCGGAGGGGTAGGTGGAATCGGTGCGGACCTTGCCGTCAACCTTGACCAATCGCTGCATCAGGATGGCCTTGGTCTCACGGTAGTTGAGAGCATACTTGAGGCGGTTTCGGATGAAGACGATCAGGGGCATGCAGTCGCGGAGCTTGTGAGGACCGGCAGAAGGCTTGGGAGCGTAGGTGCCGGACAGCTTGTCAAGCAGCCAGTGCGAGGGGGCGCTGAGGCGCTTCTGGTGCTTCTTGCTATTAAGACGGTCAGATCCTCGTTCTCATAACGGGACAACAGGAGAGAAGTCCAAATCGTGATTCGTTGTAATCGTATCTGTGATCGTTCTTCTTGCAATTCCACTTACATTCCGCGGGCCATTGTGTCGGTTGGCTGGTTTGTCGGCGGTGATGAGGAGGATGGACGAGGAAACCTACTTCACAAAGAACGGACTGAGTGATGTGTTGATCGCGCACTTTTTTTTTTCGCTAGTGGGGGTTTCGTGCCCTACGATTGAGTCGCATGTGGGTCACGTGACAGTATATGTTTTCCCACGCAGGAATGGTAGGTACTAATACACAAGTGGAGTAGCCTGTGTGAGGAAGCGTCGGGTTCAATTGATTGACAACCTCAAATAGGTCTTTTGACCAAATGGTTTTATTGAATTATCTTGTCATTAGGATATGCATGGTGTATTCCGAGCATATTTACCCTGAAAACATCTTCAACTAAACCTTTGGCAACAGCAGCATGACAAACTATCCTTTTTGGATGTCATGAGCGCCTAACGATGTACAACTTTTGAAACATTCCATCTTTGCCGGTGAGGCAAACCGTGTTTTCCTTTCCTTCAAGCGCCAAAGCACCTATCCATACCATCAGATACAAGTGATAAGCGACCGATAACCAGCGCGTGCTGTGTGTTCTCGTCCAGTTCCAAGTCTCAATCTATGTACGCCCAATACCATTGCAAACCAGTTTCCCGACTCCTGTCCCTTTCGAACTTTCATAAACATTAATGCAGAACACTGCGACTAATAGATGCTGGCCCGACTGTTGATAATCTACTCGGGTGTTGCATCCCATCTTTGTCGTGACTTTTCTGTGGGGTATTTGCTGGTGGAGAAAGACCAGGGACGCCCTCGATACCAGATCGTGAAATCGCTGGCGAAAGCTTGGCATCGTCAAGTAATAGGCGCGATATGTCCATTTCACCGCCCATGAACTGAGGCGGCACAGTTTCACCGAATTCGAAAACTTGAGCTGTTCCCATAATTTCGCCTGTCTCGATTCTTTGCTGAGCTGGCCATCGAGAAAGATCTTCGCGCGATGTCGACTGGTTCATTTGTGGTTCTAGCGTTGTAGCCTTCGGAGGTTTAAATGAGTTCCCAGCCGGTAATCTCACAGATGGCTCCATAACATCGTTCCCTCGACTCATCTCCCTGGCTTGAAGATTGCTTTTCTCTATTCGTTGATAAACACTGGAATACTTGTTGCGTACTCGATCTCTCAAATCTGTTGGTTGCCTACTGGAAAGATGGAAGCGCGGGTCCCTTTGAATCTTGGTCCAAGCGGGTCCATGGATCTCTAACCCCTGAAGAATTTCATTGTCATCTTGTTCAGTAAAAGGTCGACGTTCGCGGCGATGAGACTTCTTGAAGGGCCCATGAATACCGAGCTCCACAAGATCTTCCATCTTCTTGCGATGTGCTCGGCTTTTTTTCTGCTTAGGAGTAGTGTCAACCTCTTGCTGCATTGCTGAGGCAGTGTCTTTTGTTGATGCAGTATTTCCATCTATCAATATCCTTTCAAAGTGCACATCCGTCTTGCCCTTCTGGTTCGACCCTCGGTGGGAACGTGATGGCGAGTCTAGTTCAAGCGTCCGGTTGGACTTGCGAAGCTCCTCGGGACAGCACGTCCTAAACCGATCCTTAAGATCCCCAGCTGTCCGGTCGTTAAACTTGAAATCGGTATCTTCAAGGATGCTCGTCCACTTTCCGACCCCATGTCGATTAACACCCAATAACAAATGGGTTGTCTCCTCCTCAGACCACTTCCGCCTCGGTTTGCTGGTACGCTTTCGCGTTTTGTTGGTAACCGGAACCGATTCAGCCTCTTGGGACGGTTGAGTGGATGACTGGGCGGAAGACTGCGTAAAATCGGGCATTATCTTCATATGCGAGCCATCCTTGCCATCGAACGAATCAGACGATATGGGAGGGAACAAAGCGGCGTGGGGTGGAGGTTCATGAAGCCCGTTGATGATCGGTGGCATTACCGGCGCTTGCTGGGCGGCTTTTTGCTTTTTCAGTGGTTGTGGGAGCTGCATGAAATCATCCTTGACATGAAGGCCACGATGTCGCTTTTTGTTCGATACGTCTTCAAGAAGCTCAGGACCGTCGTCTAATAGCCGACTTATCGAATTGGCTGGTTCTATAACATCCGAGTCGCTCGAAGCTATTCGTAGCGGAAATCCTCCAGAAACCGGTGCAATCTTTCCATCCTGGCCATTCCCTTCCTTGCGAAGCTCAAGAGAAAGATCATCGTTGGTCAAATTTATCAAATCAACAGCGTTAATAACAGATTGCGTGTCAGCAGGTGGCCTGTCACCACGATGGTTCGCGTCGGACTCGATTGGGGGCAATGATCGATCTGTGGCCGAAGGGAATGCAAGGGAATGAAGGGGTGGAAGATCGGCATGGTTGAGTTGCGGTCTCGTCGGCTCGTTGAGCAGATGAATTAAGCGTGGCTCGATCGTGGCCATCGTGGGCTCTCAGAGGTGGATTGGCACATTGAGCACAAGTTGAAGTCAATGGAGGAACAAATAGACACGATTGATTGCGATATTAGCCAGCGAAGGAGAGAATATAAAGAGGGGAGGGGAAGCTGCATATGCCGTTGGCAAGAGGCAACGGCTCAGAACACCATGTTGACTACGAGATTGGGGAGCTGCTTCACAAGAGTTGGGGCGTGAACGCTTTGATATTCTCACCTGGGCCTGTATGTCTCTCAGTTGCAGTAGCACGTGAAATCGCCACATGTTGAAGCTTGCCATTGGCAAATTCAACAGGAGGGGCGCATCCGCACTGAAGCTACCATACCTAGCAAACCGGCCGCGGATAATGCCGGCGCTTCCCGGTCTAGTATCCGCCTTTCAACACAATTGAACTGCATCTCGATATCGGGCTTTTTCACATGCCAGCATGAAAACTGCATTCAATGCCTAAAAGGCGGCAATACTTGTCGACTTTACTTACTTATGAACAAGTAAGTGAAGTAATCCAGTAGCCATGGATGACATGTTAGTATAACCTAATAAGTCTTATCACAAGGCCAGCATTATGAATCTAGGCTAAGAATAAAACTAGTCAAATTCACCACATGTTGGTGAGAGAAGGATACCTCTATTCCGCATTTTTCTCACACCCGAGGCTTATCTCCAATACATCCTGATAGGCAAGCAAAACAGAACAGGGTGAAATTTTTGCCCGCTATTCTCGAGGGTAGTTCAAAATGTCATGATTCATATTTTACAATGTTTTATTCGGCTGAATTAAGATCCCCCTTGGTTCTTTGAATAACATCAATGTTGTTATTCGTTTAACGTGAGTGGGACTCTGGTGAAATGATCTATGAGCGCTTTTATAATTTTTGATACATGCCATCACGATCTTAAGATTGATCGAGCATCCTGGCCGTCCCGATTTTGTTTTATGGTAATTTTCATCCCTTGTAGGGGCTGGGGCCGACCATAAGCTCGGGCTTGACAAGAGTATCAAACTCATCCTCAGTTAGAGCCTGGAGCTCGAGGGCACTCTGCTTGAGGGTTAGACCCTTCTTGTGAGCATTCTTAGCGACCTTGCTGGCCATGTCGTAACCGATTTTGGGGTTAAGGCAAGTGACAAGCATGAGCCTATAAATCTGGTAAGTATTTATTTCGAGTTTGTGATGTACAAGAACTTACGATTCCTTCATGATGCTGGCAATCTTCTCCTCGTTAGCGGCGAGACCAGCAACTAGGTTCTTCTCGAAAGAGCGCATGCCATCTGTTAGAAGGCGTGAGCTGTGCAGGAGGTTGCGGATCACCAGAGGTTTGTAAACGTTAAGCTCGAACTGGCCATTCATACCACCAATAGTGGTCGCAACGTGGTTGCCCATAACCTGGGCGCAGACCATAGTCAAAGCCTCACACTGCGTGGGGTTAACCTTTCCAGGCATGATGCTGCTGCCAGGCTCGTTCTCGGGCAGGTTGAGCTCACCGAGACCACAACGAGGGCCACTGCCGAGGTATCGAATGTCCTGAGCAATCTTGGTAAGAGAGGCAGCAAGGGTGTTGAGAGAGCCGTGAGCCTGGACAATAGCGTCATGGGCAGCCAGGGCCTCAAACTTATTAGGGGCAGTCTTGAACTCGGTGCCGGTCATGTTGGTGACCTCCTCAGCAATAGCTTCGGCGAAGCCCTGGAAAGTGTTGATGCCTGTGCCAACGGCGGTGCCGCCCTGGGCGAGGAGGCGTAAATCAGGGAGAGAGCTCTCTACACGCTTGATGCCAAAGTCGAGCTGAGCAACGTAACCAGAGAACTCTTGGGCGAGAGTTAGAGGCGTAGCGTCCTGGAGATGAGTACGCCCGATCTTAATGATCTTCTTGGCCTCAAACTCATCGACCTTCTTCTGTAGGGCAGCACGAAGGCTGTGGAGGGCAGGCAAGAGCTCGCCCTCGATATCAAGGACGGCAGCAATGTGCATAACAGTAGGGAAGGTGTCGTTGGAAGAGGCGCTACGGTTAACGTGGTCGTTGGGGTGGACAGGCTTCTTGCTACCCATAGTTCCGCCTAGGATCTCGATGGCTCGGTTGGAAATGACCTCGTTGGCGTTCATATTGGACTGAGTGCCGGAGCCCGTCTGCCAAACGACAAGAGGGAAATGGTCGAGGAGTTTGCCATCAGCAACCTCCTTGGCGGCCTGCTGGATAGCAGCACCAATCTTGGGGTCTGTGAAAGCAATAATTAGCGTTTTGTCATTCAGAGAGTAGGTAAAGTCCATCTCCGTTGAGTCTTAGACGGCTTGGTGTATATGTCGACCCCACGAAAATGTACAAGTCAGGCCATCCAAGTAGAGTGTAAAACAAGCCATTTTACCACCAAATAACCCTATCTGAATTCAATCGCTACTCACCAAGGCCGTATCGCATGTTGACAGTGGCGGCAGCACCCTTCAGGATACCAAATGCCTTGACAATGGGCGGGGGCATGCGATCCTGGGGCTGGTTGATACGAAAGTTCTCAAGAGATCGCTCCGTCTGGGCTCCCCAGTATCGGTCGGCGGGGACCTGAATCTCGCCAAAGGCATCGCTCTCTGTTCGTGTCTGAGACATTCTGGCTGAAGTGCTGTGAATAGCCCTGGAGAGTTGAAGACCACCAACCCGGGTCTTGTTCTGAAGTCGCAGTTGCGGGGCAAGCGAGCATGTGGACGCAGCTGCTTGGGAGACCCGAGGCAGAGCTGACTTCATAAGGCCCGAGGCGGCAGCACGTCCCGTGACGGTTCGAAGCATGATGGACAGATGGCTGGCTGGCGAAACGCTATTCCGAAAGCTGGGGCAAGCCAATTGAATCGACTTGGCTCGACTGAGGGTGGCAGGAGGATTCTTCGGGGCAGGGGGCCGGAGATGTTGCACAATTGCAAAAAGGTTTTTGAACAGTCGGAGAGAATGCCAACTACTTGTCTCGTCGCACTCGGTTGTTAATTTTAACGGCTCAACCAACTTTAGACTTCGGAAGCACTGGTCAAATGGAAAAAGCTCGAAATACTGGCCGGTTATTTGCCGGAGATCCTTGACCGGTCAACGATATCGGCCTCGCTCCGGTCTATCCCGAGCAGTCCCGGGATTCAATGCCATTCGATGTGGTTGTTCTCATTGGATGGCGGCATCTGAAACCGGAGGTTGACTCTGGGGAAACGAAAATCAAATCCCATTGCACACACACACTCCGTATTTTGTGTACGTACCCTCCTCATTTCCCCATTCAACCATCAATCAATGCATAATCATGGCTTCTTCTCTCCCGACCTTCCCACGAATAGTATTCACTATTATAGAGCCTATCTCTTTGTAAGATTTCATAAAAAGGATCTTGTGTCTGACTAGTCAATGGCAAGTCTGCTAACATCGAAAACAGATTTGCTGGTTTTGCTGGTGCCGTCATTGATCCAGCTTGGTTCATCGGGGAACAATCTCCCCAGAAGAACGACGGTGATGCTTCTCACAATAGCATCATTGTAGCCTGGCAGCTAGGGAACTTGTATTTGCTGCTAGCATTCGTTGGGGTCGCGATCCTATCCACCACTACTGAAAACCGAGTTGTTCGATCGTATCTTGTTGCTCTTTGGCTCGCAGACATCGGTCACGTTGGCTTCAGCTCTTATGGGATAGGTCGGGACAGGTTACTGAGCCCTTCCCAGTGGAACGCCATGACTTGGGGAAATCTTGGAATGACGGTAAGCCAGGAACAGAATTTTATGCTGCCATATCATCTCAGCTCTTCTGATTGACGCTGACCTGTGTTTTAGTTATTCCTTTTTTGCACGCGAACGGCCTATCTCACGGGCTTCTTTGGACCTGATTACGTTGACAAAGCCGCGTCAAAGAAGACAGCATGATAAACCTGAGTGGGAAAACTGTTTGAGGCGACATCGGTGACAGAACAGCTATGGGGGATTTCCTAGTACAGAATTTATGAATGAAATGCTCCGAAGACCTTGCTATAATACCCCCAGTGCATTTATATCCTCTCTTCGTCCTATAGCTTATAAATTTACAAGAGAAATCATAGGTTGCGGTCTTATTGTAATACCGTATGGAGCATAAACTCATGAAATCCGGTAGCTCCAGCCTGTGGGTATAAACTAGCCTCTTTCAAGGTGCATGATTGGTTAATGTGGCAAATAAAGATCTGATATCTGTAAAAGAGCGTTATTGGTCAAATAAGTGAAATCGCTCAGGCTAGCGTGTGTCCACAGCCTCTCCCGGATTTCGTGAGTTTATTATAGGGTAGCAGAACGAATATGATAAGATTGTACATGCAAAAATGTACCATATCAGGTAAGGTTACCTTACAGGCTAGCGTCTCCCGTGATTTGGCGTCCGGGGAAGTTCTTTGTGAGGGTGGTCAAAGCTCAAAACACCAAAAGTTTAGCGCAGGGACGCGTTGGATGCCTTCGTGTTACCTTGGAATTATGGTTATGGTTAGGGTTAGGGTTAGCTCTTATTGGTTGATAACGCGAAGGGTCAACCATCACAACAACGCGGTTAGCGCCAGGCTCACCTCGTCCATACACATACACATACATACCTGCACAACTTCACGCAATAATGAATACTCGGAGTGCCGCAGGGCGCTCAGAGCGTGCATCTGCTCAGACTGAGAATCGCGAACCAAGGCGTAGCAATCGAAGAAACAACCCAGTTCAGCGTGCAGCAACCCCGACAAAGAATATTGTTAGCCAGCCCATACCTGGACCCGGTAAAGGCTTACTGAACGATCCGGTCGCTCGCCGTAACCCACCTCCTCAGGCTCGAGACGACATCAGTATCCCCTCAAACCCACTGAAGCCTGACGATGAAACCGAATTCTGGGATGACTATGATGTGCAATCGGAAAACCCCGGCGAAGAACCTGAGAACGTCGTCAGCCCCGTCGAAGAACTTCAGCTTGGTATAGTAGTCACCGCGGCACAGCAAAGGATCCTGGAGCTCAGTGTTCCAGACTTAGCAAGAGCTGCCGATAGCCTGTTTGACTGCTTCCAAGGAAATGAAGCCGACGATGTCTTCAATGGAATCTTGGCCATTAAGCGACGTGCTTTCCATACCATCAGAGGGGAATATGATGCACTTGATCAGTCTGGCACGGCACCATTCATTGATTTCGCGCACTTTGTGGATGAAACTCCCACTCAAAACCAAAGCGTTATGGTGACTCAGATCGCACGCACCAATGTTGTGACAGCTTACGACAAGCTTTACAGGCTTGAGGATGAGGAGGCATCGGTCATCTTTCCATTCCTTGAATGCCTCAATCGGGTTTTGCCCACATTTTTTACCCCAGCTAACAATATGTTCCAAAATCCTCAGAGCACCTTGCACCTCCGAACCTGGCTGTTTGTTGAGGATCTCTCTCATCGCAAGGACGAAAAGGACTTTCGGGAGCTGCTTGTTTCTTATTTCTGTCAAGATGAAGAAGAATTGAAGGAATTGAACGGACTGGAACACAACGGCAAGAGAGAGCTTCCTTCATATCCAGAACTTTTTTCGGGGGGGTACTTCAAAGACCTCGGCGGCGTTAATCAAGTCGATCACGATGTTGATGATCTCTGCTCAGCACGGATTGCTCAGATTAAGAAAATCATCGATGACAACAAGGAAGATGGTGGAATCGCCCAGCTGAGAAAACACTTTCCCCTGCATAATTTGGTGGAAGATCTCTTAAAGTGCTTTGAGAGCTTATACAACGTTTTGACGTTCGAAGAGAGCGTGAGGGCGGGTACTGAGCCTCCTCGACATGATCAACAGGATGTTGCCTACAGCCAAGGCAATGATTATGGTTCGGAGTCACAATCAATCGTGCGCGTGGGAAGCCAAGAAGTAGAGCAAGTGATATTCTTAACTGGTAACAGAGTTAAATATTGACCAACCCAACAGGCCCAGTCTATTTGTCGGGCTAAAGTCCATTCAAGCCTTGCAGGATAGAAGTCGAGCAACCAGTACTGTTCCCTCTTCCAACCAACAGCTTGCAGGTTTCAGACCCGGGGTTCCCCGTGATTATCACGAGGATTCAAATGCCGATCTCCTGGGTGGTAGCCCACTCCCCCCCGCAAGTTCTTATCGTTTAGCTACCAAAGGCGGGAGGGAACGAGAACGAGTGCAGAAACGACCGCGACTTTCCCAGGATGACGACGACGGGGAAGACCCTTTTGAGACTGACACTCGTCGTGTTGATCCAGCGAGGCGAGATGAGCTACAACGACAGATGCCGCCACCTCCTAGGCCAGCTCCTGTCTCACGGCCTCCTCCAAGGCATGTTCCTGAGTGTTCATTCTCTTCAGGATCCGCACATCCCCTTTCTGTGCATGAGTCGTCGCAGGATATGGGATTACGCTCAGTGTCGCAGGCACCATTGTCGTCCAGGCCTTTCAACGCTATCGCAAAGGCCGCATCACAAATGAAAAAGGAGGTACGTATGGCAGATCCAGAGCGGCAAGGACCACGACAACGCGTTCCCTGGAGTGAGCACGACTCCCGGGTGCTTTGTGACCTTATTCAAGAATACGGTGTCCGATGGTCGTCTATCGAAACCATGAGTGAGCGTTTTGAATATCCGCGCAATCAACAGGCGTACCGCGACCGGGCTCGAAACCTCAAGACGGAGCTTCTCATGGTTGACATGCCACTGCCTCCAAATTTCGACGCCGTAGCTTTGAGCAATAAAGAAATTGCAAAGATTAGAGGAGTTGGGAAAAATCCGTTTCGTAAAGAGGCCGATATTGACGACGACAACAACCCCATCAATACAGAGCTTGCAGAATCCACGCCATTTTAATATTGGGCGGCACAAGCACGGAAGTTTGTGAATTCAACGAGTGGTAACAACCATGTAAAATTCTTCATTGGCGTTATGTTTTACCTTTTATATCATGGCGGCCATATCAGGTTAAGCCAGTTGTACTACGAGGGGCGACGAGTCCTTGCTCACTGCTGTGGTGTACATTTAAAATAAGAAAACCTGATCAAAACTGCGTGGCTTTTGTGAGTCAATACATAGTTAAAAACACGCATTGCGTAATGGATTTCTAGTAAAATAAACTGACTTAAGAAAGGGCAATGTCCGCCGACACCTTAGAGTCTACAGAGCCAGCTACACAGACCATCTTTCTTGCCCAAACTCTTCGCAATGGCTGGCGGGATAGCTATTGTGTTCTAGGCCATTAAAAAATGGTGCTGATCGAAGCTCCTCGGGCTATCAGTTCAGACAATACAGCAACAAGCTCCGGTATATGATGTCAAGAAGGGTGCAATTTGTAAAACGGAGCCGTGAGACGCCCATCATGACCTCTCATTTCAAAGCCGATGCCACAAACGCCGGTGTCTGGAAATGATTGTCGAAAGAGAGAGAAAAAAAAAGAAGTCAAGAACATATCATGAGCAGTTGATAAAACCTTGCGAGACTAGCTCGTTCGTCGGTCTAAGAGTCAAAAGCCGTGCGGTAGAAACAGTCGAGTGTCTCAATAAATGGGTATCAGCCGTAAAGGCGAGTTGAAGCAATTCCTATCTGTATGAAACAGTAATCTTCCTCGCGAGTTCAGAAATGTTATAACAAGATGACAAAGGGTATGCTGCAGTTTCCGGGAAATAGTATAGCGTTAAAGTAGTGTGAGCAAAGAAAGATGGTCGCAGTAAAAGCGTTTGGATCCATGTCGTGTCAAGCGAAGACATGGTTTGGTGATAAAGTGTCTTCTGGTCGTACGAATGGCGTGTCAATCCTACGTGGTAGGTGCTGCCCTCATTCAACAGCGTTCATCGATGACGATAGGGGACATCCCTCTGCTTGAGTCGGTTCGTTCTCCATCCCTCGTACCACTGTTCCCGACTAGCTTCACGTAGCTCGGCACGCCATTCGCTGAAAACAGCCTCTTTCAGACGTTGAAAGTCACAGTGTTCTTCATTGTAAGGATCAGCAAAACCCCACGGGAACTGTCGGCCAATGACACCTGGCTCGTAAAGATCCGGGCTGATGATGGAAAGTGGCAAGAAAGGGATCTCGTCTTCCTTTTCTTTGGCCTCTTCTTGTGCTTTATGTCGTCGAATGGAGCTGGTGGATAGTCTCTTGGAGCTTGGCGAGGCCGCTGGGCTTTCTCGATGGCCCTGCAGTGGGAATTCTTGGCTTTCAGGTGTTTGAGCACCACCACGTTCGTGTCCGGCCTCATCTTCCTCCTCATCTTCCTCGGCAATCCTTTCGGAAGTAATGCTGCTCTCGTCCTCATCATCGAGGCCGAGTGCTTCCAAGGGATCTAGGCCCGATTTCTTGATGCTGTCCCAAACGCTTCGTTTGAGAACATTCATATGCTTAGTGGTGATGGTATCGGCCTTGGCAATGACTGGGATCACAGTAGTCTTGCCTTGGAGTGTACGCAGAACCTGCAAATCAAGGTCTTCATCCAGACTCCCAAGCACACGCGCACCAAGATGTCCGTTATGCTGACCATTGATAGCTGGGTTCCTCGCTGATGCAATGTTGCGATCCAATCGAGAAGGATCAAGGACAAGGAAAGTCGCATGGATGTGGGTATCTTGTACACCAGGAGAGCGTACAACCTTCATTTCCTCTGCAAATGTTTCCTCAAACTTGCTTTCAAGAAAGGCAGACATTTCCCTAAGTTGGAGGTCGACTACATTCTTCTCCAGGCCTTCTGAGTCCCAGATGGTGAGGCCAACACGCTCCCCGTCAATCTCAGTTTCAAGGTAGTGCGGAATAAAGTTTCCAGAGGGAGTGTTGCGATTCTGTGGCACTTCGTCATCACCTTTCTTGGCTCGTTTCTTGGGTGGAAGGGCGAGCGCTGTTTTGAGAAACTCGAGAAAGGAGGTTTTTCCAGAGTTACGAGTACCAATGACTAGAATGCTGGTTTTAGTGTTAGCACACGACTGATATACAAATGAATTGCATTGACTGGAAACTCACTTCAAGGGCGTCGGGTCCTTTCGTCTGCGAACACGACGAGGACTGTTAACCGTGCTAATAGCACTACTAGCATAGCTGTAGCGGCCACGGTTCGTCATGCTTTCTGTTCTGGCATATGGATCAAAACCACCGTTGGGCAACGGCGGGACAGGGACGGCAGCATGCGCAGCAGCACCATATCCCCGAGAGTATTCTGCTGAAGGCCGAATAGCAGTGTAATCTGCTGATCGAGGAACGTTGGCTGGTGATTCGGGGCGCAACTCGGGGCCAAAGGATTTAGATAATTGTTCCGAATGGTTGGCGAATTCGGGCAGCTTAGGAGCAATGCGCGTCGAGGCCTGGCGCTGTCGTTCAAGCTCAGCCTCCCTAAGGGCCTGCGCCTTACGACCGCCTTTGCCCAGATCGCCACTTTTGCTGCGTCGAAGTAACATGCCGAAACTGGTACGGCGAGGCTGCTCGTTGTTCATCCTCTGAGGGAATGATCATGAAAAGGAAAAGAGTCGCGGCCAAGAGACGGCAACCCAGAAGGGTAGGGTATGAGCGGGCAGCGCGCGAAGGAGGGTGCGGAGCACGTGGAAGCAGCGGGGGGGCCTAAGATGGAAGGATGGGGAGCAAAAACCAAATGGGCGACTTCAAATGAAGTCGAGAACAGATGACAATGGATCGGAGTGGAGGAAACGGGAACGATCCAGACGGAAGGTAGGTGGGCGTACGATAGTGGGCGGTCTTGGTCGATACCTTAGTTTAAAGTGTCCAAGCGTGTGGGCGGCACAAGGCAGCTGGTTGCAACGACTTCGTAGACGGACAATCAGCAGATGTCAGCGAAACGGACGTTGACTGGTCTTCACATACCCTCTGTCAACGACAGGTGTTTCCAAATAATTGTTTTGAGGAGCAGAAAAGGGGATCTGTACAGTGGAGGGAAGTGATACGGTTGATGGATACCTACTACCTAAGGTATAGAGCGCGTGCACCTTGTGTGGAGAGCCGCCAATGCCAGTAGTGGGTGTAAGAGATCAGTGGAGAGTGTTTGAGACTTCGAGCCTCTGAATGAAGGTCGAGGCGTACGTTTAGAGCAGTTCCGGTTTGCAAAGGGGGGAGATGAGCTGGGCGACGTGTCTTGCCTGGTCTTTCCCTGCGTTGATTCGTAGCCTTGAGATGGGATGGAAACAGGATTGATGCGCGTCTGCAGAGTCAGGCGCTTTTGGGGGAATTATTTACCAGGGGTGGCCCAGACTCGTTTCGAGTAAGATAAGGCACTTGATTGGCTATGTGATTTAAGTTGTGGAAGGTCAAAAGCGGCACTGATGGAGGTCGAGATTAAAAAGGCATGGATTCAATGAGCTTAGACAACGGAATATGTGCCCAAAAAATGCCAACCCAAGGTAGTACCGACTCCAACCCTTATACATGGGCAACCAAGTCTTAATGCCCAGTCGGACTGATTGCTACGTAGAGACGCCGGGCATGATCCATATTACCTGGCCTGTAGTACGCCTGTCAATGATATGTCCGAAACATATTATATTGGATCGCATCAAACATTGGGATACACAAGCCAAATCCAGACGTACTGTGGCATGTCGGTGTTTACGAATTGCATACGATCCAATGCCAAGCTTTCGGCCAGACAAGCATGCTAAGGCTTCTTTACTTTTTCCCCCACGTTCCAACAGAGCATGCTTTACCATGACATTTACCATATCATTTGAAAGACGTCAGGATTCGCAATCCATCGGCGCATTTGTTCTGAGACAATCCCGGATGCGGACCCTTAAAACTGATTCGCTAACTTTCTGTAGCGCTAGTGATGGTGCAGGGTCCAAGACAATCTGACTGGATGGGGTATCAGGGGCATTAGGGGGAAGCCAATTCTGCATGAGGACTTGGCGCCGTTTATAAGAGACGGTGATTATTTGTCAATTTAAAGCCGCATTCAGTGACCTGAACAAGAAAAGGGACCTGTGTATCACCCACCTACTTTCTTACAATACCATTGAACACCAAGTATGTCTTACAACACAGCTCACGAAGCTCCAGCCCAGCAGCGGTCCTGGCCGCATGGTCCTTATCCTTATGAGCGGGGATAGCATGAGGTGGAGACAGTCCCGCCAATCTAACGCCACAGGCACATGGCTTTGAGCTTAGACTCCAATGTATCAAGTTTGTGTCTTGATGTCTTAATTACCTGGTACGGAGTACTCTGTACGTGCGGGCTTATTGCTTGCATGTACAAGCTTGATGATCGGGACCCAATCCCAGTATATCCTTCCATGTCCTTGCTGGATTCAAGCACAGACACCGTGTATTTCTACAGGCCAACCAAAACCAGAAATCCCAACTTTTAGGCTGTATCGGATCGACCCACTGATGCAGGTACACGGCTCATCAAGTGTCAACTAAATTGGACTTTAGGAAGGAGTTAGATGCCTCCACCAACTGCATCCGTCGACAACAAGCGTAAAGTGTCATTTTCCTGGGGCAACAGAAGTCCTAAGGAAGAACAAATATCGTCAAAACACGGGCAGTTCTTATCGTTCTCCGTAGCTACTTAGGTAGTTGTGTGCACAGAGAGACTAAGCAGACCTTGTAGCGATAAAACACAGTGGCTTTAATTGCAGGGCATCTGATGCATGTAAGCGAAGAAACAAATGGTTTCTAGCGCTAGTTCAATTACAGACAGAATCCGTACACCTGGACCTATCCAACATAATGCCGTTTGAAAAGGGGAAGTAAGAAAACTTAGGACCTATATCGTAAATGATAAAAAGACTTGAGTAAATTTAATATAGGCTTAGTAGGCCCTTATACAAATTATTTTTGGCATCTTGGTTTGGGGTCAAAAGTTTTCTTGCTCCCTAAGGTTTGGATATGTTTCTGGTAAAACTATATGGTAACTCATGTGTTACTGCCTTATGACCTTATTTGACTAAATGCTATACGTATGAAGAAGTCTAGCTGAACTGCAAGCTTCCATACGGATACTACATCCCAGTGCCGGGTTGAGTATATCCTTAAACCTTGCATCAGTCCCATTTCAGTAATCTCCTCCTGCATTACACTAATCAATGGAAAAGTCCATCTGTAAGACCAATCATGTCAGACTAAACTCAGTGGAGCTGGATAATAAGGCGTCAGTATGTGGCTATCGGGTTGTAGGATAGTTATTTCAGTGATCAAGTCGAAATAATAAGCAGTAACAAGAGGGCATCTACAAAGGGCACAAACGATCGATTTTGTGATGACTGCGAGTCGAATGGTCAGGCTTAGTACTCCTCCCCTCGAATGTTCCAAGCATTTTGGCCAGGATCGACTGTCGCAAATCATTCTTCAACTTCCACGCCACTATCAGAGGTTCATGTCCGATGATCTGTGATATGCCTTAGTCATGGCCAGTCCAAGTATCTAATAGTAGGCATTCATTCGAGAAAACAATGATAAAATGCAACTGCCTTCAGCGTTTACGGGAATCACCGCCTGGACCAAATGACAAGCAGGAGGTGAAGACTAGAAGTAAGGGAAATTTTTGCATCGCTTCCATACAGTTTCTCTGCTATGTATTTGGGTCCGATGATCTGAATGCTATCGAATCTGTTTGCTAATCTTGAGAAGGGGTTTTGTCTGTCGATTTCAGCACGCTCATATTGAAACAAAAACTGGGCGGTGCTCATCGTCGTCTATCTATATAAATGGTACATGTTCTTGTTATATAAAAGGGGAATTCGTCATGATTTGTTGGGCACACAGTGGTGGGCATTTCCACCAGACCCTTTGCAGTAGCACTGGCTCAGCCATCAAAAACATCATGCTGAAGCTCGATACCGAAGTCTTGTGCGACATCCTTCATTCTCTTTTCCATTTCATCCTCCATCCCCCCTCCAAGGCCCAGCCACTGGCGCAGCTTAAAGATGTAGAAAGCCACATCAGAGGCTGCCATGACAGTCTTGAAGATGATATGGCGCCAGCGATTCTGGAGGCGCTGGCTCAGTGGCAACTGGGGGTCCTCAAATAGACTTCGGCTTGCCCACTCGCCCATCATCTTGACGCGGTTGACTGGTGATCCCAGATACTGGTTGTTGCCTTGTACGATCCGCATGTTGCGGCCGATGAAAATCAGCTCTTGCGGCCACTTCTCTTCATCTGTCAGGATCTCTCGAATACCCTGCTTCATTCGCTTCTGCATCGCGTAATGCCGCTCAGCCGGCGTGTTTCCTTCGAGTTCTTTCATTATCCCATTATGCGTGCGTTTATCTCCACCCTCGTACGGCCGCAGTAATGTTGCGCTTGCGAAGAGATCTGCCGCCTTGATCCCCCATGCTTCTGTCACCTGTGAGATTGTTTTATTGTCGAATGTCATGAGCGCTTTCCAGAAGGTGGCGTATTCATTTCTGAACTTGGATGACATGTACACATAGAGGCCATGATCAATAAGCACAAGCTCTGCTCGGCCATTGGGCAAGCGCCTGATAAAGATGTTGCCCGGGTGCGGATCGCAGTGAACAACCCCCCACTTGAAAATCTGTGCGGAAAAGAGGTCCACCATGGTCGTCATGACTTCTCGCGTGGACAGACCAAGTCCCCCACGACCTCGTGAACCGCGCCATTCCTGACGTGCCGGCTTGAGGTTTTCTTGAAAGGGCCTTGTCCGAAGCTCAAGACGTGCAGCCTCAAGATCAATTTGCGGGAGTGGGCGACCAGCGCCAGGGGATCCGTTGCCATGTCCTCCAAGCCATCTCGATGTCATGGCTTTCTTATCCCAAAGCCTCACACCCTCGATCCACTCGGTCACGAGAACTCGCTTTGTCGTAAATTCGGGATAAACTGTAGGAATGTATACCCTCCCTTTCAAAGCTTTCTCTGCATTAACAAGCTCTCGCATTTTTTCTGAATTCTTGGCCTCATTGACGAAATCAGTCTCTAGCTCGAGTCGCTCCGTAATGAACGGGACCAGCTTGTACAGTGGGAGGTCAAACCACTTAGAATAGATCCATGCGACGGTCCTGTCTTGCATCAGTAAGTACGCGGGAGTTGTTTTTGCATTTGTCGGGCTTACTTGAAGGCCCAGAGATCCCATGATATTTGCTTGGCAATCTCCCGTTTCTGTATTTTAATAGCGACTTCGCGACCATCCGCAAGTCTGGCCCAGTGGACTTGAGCAACACTTGCACTCGCTCGAGCCTTACGCTCCATCAGTCCCATTCCCTCTTTGCCTGTGAAGCTGACGCCAAAGACCTCTTCGACGCTTTTTCCAAAATCTTGTCTTATCACTGCTTCGATGTCACTCCAGTCGTCTTGCGGTGCATCGTCAAACATGCGACTGAACATCTTTTGGAATTCGGGAGGCAGAACGGCGCTCTGCATTGCAATGGCCTGTCCAATCTTGAGATAAAGCCCACCATTGGCACGAAGAAGGTTAAACAGTCGCTCAGCATTTCGGTTATGCAAGTCCTGCACAGTCCCACCAGTA